CTGTCTGGAAAAATGTTATTCTAAGAAGGGAAAAAGGCTCGCTAGGTACGTACTAGGTACGTAGCTACGAGCGGAATGGCCGCAACGATTCAAACGGAAGACGTACAGGGACGTCAGTATAAGAAAGGAGTTTCGACAAGGGATTGCCCAGCCGTGTTCAAAACTATCTTAGCAGGATCAGTTTGAAAATACTCAACCACTGGATTGCCGATTAACAGGCTACTCATTCTAGCTCTTTAAAGGCGTATTTTCGCAAGTTGCATTAGCACACATGAATTTGTAAGTTATAATTGAGCTAGCAAAGTAATACTTCTCGGCAGACATGACTTTTGAGTCAGAAGTGGAACAGGCAACAATTTCTGTTGCCTCCTTGCTTTGTTTTCATGGGTACGTTTCTCCTTGGATTCGTGATTCGAATATTGGACCGTGAGATCATCAAGCATAAGGTTCACCATCTCACCTGCGTCTCATAATTTAAGATTCAAATTGCGCTGTTGCAGTAGAACAACAGAAGTCCGGGTTTCAGATCAACATGAAACAATTTGGATCTTCTTTGCCATGTGAAGTAAGTCTCTTGCACGATGAGCTGCAGTTGCCTTAGGTTCGCTTAAAGGCAGTTGGCACGATAATTTCCTACTTAGCCTAAAATGCTAGTAGGGCGCTGTATAGTGGGGAAATGGCGAAAGAACGGAGTGAAACGGTCAAAATCCGGCGAAGAAAAAGCCTCCGTTCTCAGTGACTTGTAAATCGATTTCGGACGAGTTTCCCGTACGCATCTTGCCAATCACCGCTACCGAAGGTACGGCTGCATATGTGTACCCATGTATGCATGCAGCATCACGGCCGCTTCATACCAATCCCTTCGCTTCATAATTTGCTTAGCAAATGAATGAATACGAGCGTCAGAAACGGTCGTCCGTTTGTGGGCGGGCGGGCAAGGAAGGCGTTTGGGACGTAAAGTTGTTGCTCAATAGGGCGTTATAGAGGTACCCTCCTTGGAAAAAGATTTCACGCAGCGCCTGTCCAAGGTCACGGAATTCTGTTTGAGCCAGTTGTACAAATCCTACACCTGTATAGCGATTTATCGTGCCAACTGCCTTTAAGCCTTGCCGTTCATACGCGTTGCGTTAGAGTCCACGTAGCAAACACCAGCGGACCACTTGCAGTTTTCGAGCGTCCCGGCAGCGTCCAGCACTATTATAGAAAAGTGTAGGTATCGATCTAGCGTCTGCCAGCTCCTGCCAGCGTGTGCAGCGTCCACCATCTACCACAGCGTCCCAATGGCTAGGGAAGTATAGGTACTTATTTGGCCTCAGCCAGCGTCTAGCAGCGTCCACCAGCGTTCACAGTCGAAAACAGAGAGTATAGGTGAGCAGAAGAATAGCAAAAAGCTCGATCAGGCGTCGTGAAACTGCGACGTGTGCACTCGCACCGTACTACTCACAATACCGTACTTTTGTACGCCATATCATAATTTGTGTTTTACAGTTGTAAAGCGATGTCGGTTCTGTACCATGCCGTTTGTCTCATTACGCTCATAGCAGGATGTTTGCTAAAACCGTTACTACCGCCGTATTCTCTGCTGCTAATCCGCTGGTGGACTGGCTGAAGACGCCGGTTAGCAAATGCGTTAGATCGAGGTCTATACTTACATAGTCGATGGCGCTGCCAGGACGCTGCGGAAACGCAAGTGGTAGCTGGTGGCGCTGGTAGACGCTGGTGAACGCTGCTGCGAAGTATGAACGAAGCCTAAACTTCTAGTCATCTCACTGTCAGCAACTACCACTTCTATTCCAGGGTATCCGCATCACGAGTGACTTTGACAATGTCTAGAGCTCTACCCTCAGAAAAGCCCATATACCCAATATGGACCTCCCACTCCCTTTCTTTACTGACTGAGCACACACTCTATATTGGACGGAAGCTCTGTGATTCCTCTGATCAAGGCATCACAACTCTTCCCGCCGTGGCACATTCGGCCGCTCCGTTCATCTATGCGTCATGAAACCGAAGAATTTTCTTTACTTCAGACTTTTTCTTATTATTTTCTCATATTAATGGAATAACCAATTTTGAAATTGATTTATTGCACTCCTGCAAGAACAAAAAGAAAATTCACGATAAATAACACAAAAACATCTCGTTCGAACTAGATCAATTAACATCTATATAATATATTCGGCTAAAAACTCTATGAAAATCTGCTGTTTTACCTCAAATAACAATACCAACGAGTTATCTACTGAAAAAAAGATGTTTAATGTTACTTATACAGTCGGGATCATGCTAGCAATCAAAGGGATTCAGTTGATTCAACGAACGATCAATCGATCGCTTATCGATTTCCAATAAAACGAAGTGAAAGCAGTGAACGCGCGTATTTAGTGTGAACATTGCTCGTGGACATTCTGAACGATAACTGTCGTTGTGTTCCATTCACAGATCGGCAGCAGATGAAGTTTCAAATGGGAAAACCTTTTTGGCTGGTTCATACAGTCTGGTTCGCAGTGGATGATGGGGCGTGTCAGGGGGACTGTGTTTAACGCGACGCCGAATCTGTTTTCCACCAGTTGGTGGGTTGGCAATTGACAACCGTATCATATCGATCAAACCAATCGTTCTTCACCACTTGTTGTCGCTTATCGGTTTAGGAAGTGGTGGAGAACGAGCTGGCGAGGCGCCAAACAAAGCCTCAGCGACACGCCCTGTCATCCATAGCGAACAAGACTCTACGAAGGTATTGAATGCGTGATGTTATATTATTACAGTTACTCAGAATCAACTCATCGGCACGGGCCTTTTTGAAAAGCAAAATTCGTCTAAAGCATAACATCAGATGAATGACGTCGTCCGATGGGAACGTATTCGTGTTGGGAAGATCGGCGGCGATACGGCATAACAACTCGTCGTAGCTTCTGAAGTAAAACATGTAATGAACTCAGTTGGGCACAGTTCGCCTTAGGGGGGGGGGCATTTATGGAGATTTCTATGGGGCAATGAGGTGAGCGGTATGATACGTTGGTTAGAGTTTGGCTTGCCTTGAGTATAAGCTGTAAGCCTTTTTATGCAGTCAGTAGCTGTAAGGAGAAAAATGCAGAGTTGCCTAGAGGCGGGCGAGGGATCACTTGGACAGGGCACGCCGTGCCGTCGGGGGGGGGATTCCGAAAAATACGAGCCGTCCCTTTCAGCTCGTACAGCCTGCTCCCCACCACTCTCCTACTCACCATCCTCTCGAATTCTTCGAACATCTTAAAACTTTTCCTGAAATTTTTCTCTAGAAATTCCCAGGTTTCTGCCAGAAATCGCGGTCAAGCAGAGGACGGGGAGGAGTGAGTATGCAGCGCAAAAGCGCAATTGAAATGGTGAAACCGATGAAACAAGACAACTGAAGACACTTTGTTTGCTGAGGACCCCCTCCCTCCAGCGACCAAATACGCCCTGCATACACCTGAATCCGATGCACTGAGTAAAAATGGTTGCCTCCTCCGTGAAAAAAGGTTCACCTGAGTGGAGTGTTCTCCGCACCTTTCGTGAGCTACATGCTTTCATACTTTGCCTATTCCAAGTTCACCCTCACGAGGAAAGCTGTTGCAGCTTTGCGCTTTCTTCACACACAGCGATTGGTCAGAATGTTCGGTAAAACTGTTGGGGTCTGTTTTGTTATGATGCGTAACGGATAGCGCACTCGCCCGGAAAGCGTGAGGTGCGGGTTCGACTCCCGCCTGGGGCACGACTTTTGCCCACAACTCAGCATTCTTGTGATGACTGTTGGGGTCGTTTCCAGCCAATTGCGTTTTATTCAGGTGACACGCAGAAAGAAATTGGTATCGTACCGTTGCTGATCATTTCATTCTTATTATGACCGTTCCCTATCATTGCTTTATCACTAAGATCACTAAGTTGGGCTCAGAAAGAACCCCTCTCCTAGGACGAGCTACTCCCCACTGTCTGCTGAATGAAATGTCGAAAGGCAGAGCAATCAGTAAGTACAAAATAGCGCTCCTTCTTTTCTCACGAACTTCCTTTAATAGCGTGTATGATTGCTTTTTTGCTGATAAATGCCAATAAACTGAGCACTTCTCAGCGAGATCTCCACCTGTAATTTATAAAAAAAATCAGATCACCTCGCCTATGGTGTTGCCTTTGGAATGGAAACATTTGAATATGCCAACGATTGGAATTGCCGAAGCGGCCGATAAGGCGAAGAAAATTCCGAGTGTGTTTGCTAAGGGTGAGAAAGCATAGTCTTGATACTTCAACGGTTGATAGTGGATGAACGATGACAAAATCATCATCTGAAAACGACATCGAAATCGCGCACTAGCGAATTGCAATCACAGAACAACGTCTAAGGCTGCTTTCATACTTTGCGGCAGCGTCCACCAGCGACCACGAGCGTTCCGAGCAACCGGCAGCGTGCAACTAGGAAAGTATAGATATCGATTTAGCGTCTGCCAGTGTCTCGAGGGCTAGGGAAGTATAGGTATCGATCTAGCGTCTGCCAGCGTCCACCAGCTTTCACCAGCGACCGGGACTGAAGAGGTGGGGAGGTAGGAGGGTAGCAAACAGCTGATTTAGGCGTCGTTGAAGTGCAGCGGTCAACCGACACTACGGAAAACTCAATTTAAGGTATGGTCCGGTTGCACACGCCCAATTTCAAGGAAGCCTAATCCAGCTGTTTGCTACCTACTTCCCCATATCTATTTCCGGTAGCTGGTCAGCGCTGACGGACGCTGGTAGACGCTAACAACTCTAAACCGACTTCTGCACTTTCCCAGACGCTGACGCTGCCGGACGCTCGGAAGGCTAGCGGTCGCTGGAGGACGCTGATAGACGCTGCCGCAAAGTATATACGCAACCTAAAGTGTTCTCTCGAAGTTAGAGAACAGGCTGAATGAGCCATGAAAATGTGTCTTTCTTACCAAGAGAAAAGCCGGTGCAAGTAACATCCAGCAGA